CCCCCTTCCCCTCTCCCCCCAGCCCCCCAAAGCACTTCATGTCACGGCTTGCAGTTAACAGGTCCTGAGCAGATATTTTTGAATGAATGAATGACTGAACAATGACTTTGTCTACTGCCCGTTAACTTCCTTGGAAGTTTGATAGGATATTGTCATTCCACTCTGTTGTGTGTGTACACAGATTATTCATGGACCACAGTCATCACTGCAAAATCAGAGGTTGGAACATGGCCCAAGACGCAGGCTGTAGGGTTCTTATTTGGGGGTGAACCGCCCTGTTGCTCCGTAGCTGCCCCTTTCCTTGCAGGATGAAGAGCAGCGAGAGATGTCGGCCTCTGCCGCCTTCATAGACCAGCACTACGGGCACCTGGTGGACGCCGTGCTGGTGAGGCAGGACCTCCAGAGCGCATGCAGCCAGCTCAGGGGGCTCGTTGAGAGGCTGAGCAAGGACACTCACTGGGTTCCTGTTAGTTGGGTCAGGTAACTGGGTCCGAGAACATCCAGGTTGGAAGGGACCTGAAAGACCACCTAGTCCAGCCATGTTACCATCAAGGAATCGCAAGGGTGGAGAGAGGCAGAATTTTCCATTAACTGCATCATCAAGAAGAGTATATGTGGGAAGTGCTGTTTGTTGGGTTTTGTCTGTTTTTTTCCACTGCACCCCTCTGGAGCAGAAAACATGAGTTGAAAGGGGGCATATCACAAAATAACACATTTCATTCATTAAAGTATCACAGGCAAGTTGACCCTGATTCTTTGTACCAAAGTTAAGTAGCCACTGTCTTTTGGGGGAGGGGGTGGTGAATTTATAGAGTACCGATTTGCAGGGATGTGAGCTTTATGAAGAGGGTGACATTTCATATATCCAGCTCTGTTGGAAGTTGAGTTGTTTTAACCCAAGGGAATTTTCCCATGCAACTGATGTTCCCCTGTCTTCAAGCATCAAAATAGTTTCACCTTGTTGATGGTGAGTGCTTGTCTGGCACTGGAAAACTGGTTCTCTCCCTTCTTTTTTTAAATTTTATTTATTTTTTAAAAATATTTTTTTATTGATTTCAGAGATAAGAATGGAGAAGGAGAGAGAGAGAAAAACATCAATAATGAGAGTCATTGATCGGCTGCCTCCTGCATGGCCCCTGCTGGGAATCGAGCCCACAACCCAGGCATGTGCCCTGACCGGGAATCGAACTGTGACCTCCTGATCATGGGTTGATGCTCAACCACTGAGCAACACCGGCTTGGCTGCCTTCTTAAGTAGTGAGCATACATGAACGTCTGTGGAAGAGGCATACTTCACCGTCATCATGAATTACTGTACTGTTCTGGTATAGGGGTGTTTTCAGGGACCTTTGAGGAAGGTAAGGCTGCTTGTTCCTTTCTAAATACCCACAAACTCCTACAACTGAGTCCTTGCTTTGATTTGTTCCATTCCACCACTTGTCCCTCTCGTTACTGACAGCTGTCCTGGTTCTTGCCCGTCCCTACCTTCAGATGCCAGGGGCTCCTGTCGTGCTAGATCATGGGAAACCAGATGATCCCTCTTGTCCAAACTGTGTCTGAGCCATGATACGTCCTGACTGTGCAAATCAAATTATATTGACTCCAAGTGTGGGCCTAATGCGTTGTCTCTGAGCAAAACGGTTTGTCATACAGGGTTTGTGAGATATCTTAGCTGCTAAGAGAATTTTATTTCTTATTAATAGCCAGTGTATGTAAGTCTTTATTCTGTGCCGGGAGCTATGCTAAGGCCTTTAGGCCCATTACTTTGACAAATACTCCAGCCTGTAACGTAGGAGTCTATCATCTCCTTTATAAGAAAAACAAGGCTTAGAAAGTTTAAATAACACGTTCAAGCTCACACAGCTTTAAGTCAGTGGCAGAGCTGTAGTATTTGAGCCCTGTCTCCCTAATCCCAGAGATGGCCATTAACCACTATCCCACACTACTCCATCCTTTCTGTGGTTCCATCATTGAGGCTACCTGTTAAATAACTGACTTATGAGGAATGTGTTCACAGCTAGAATTTACAGTAATATGCAGTGTGGCTGTAGCTTCTAATACTGAAAAGAGGCTCTTACACGTGCAAATGTCAAGGTCTTTTCCTCATGAGGAGACCAGGTTAAGGGTGAAGACCTGCTGCCCATTTAGAAATTTCCATTTTACCTTGTTACACAAGGACACATTTGCAACTTTCCGTCTCACTAACCTGGTAGGTTCACTTAACGGGATCACGTTCTTTAGACCCTTCTAGCAAAAGGGTGAGGACTTCTTTGCACTTACGGAGTACTGGGTTCTTATCAAGTGAAATTAATCTTGAGCTGTCTCACATAGAGCCAGGGCAGGAGGGGAGGCTGCCCCTTGGAGTGAATGATTTGAAACTGAATTCAAAGGGCAGGACAAACTAGAAGAAGAAATTGATCCATATTAACTCCACCAGATAGAAAACGCCTATTGGTTCAGAACTGTATGACTCAAGAATGGGCTTTGTGTGTATGCTAGCCTGTAGTTATTAAATAAATTGACAATTGCTGTCATTTTTTGGATGTGGGATCCTGCATTTGGTGGCATAAATGATGTGGCACTGATAAGTAGGAGCAAAATTTTGATGGGCCACATATCTTAAAAATGTATGTATTTGAAAATATAATGTTAAAGCAGGCAAGTCAGTTTCTGTTGCTTGAAACTAAAAATTTATTTTGATGAAGGCTGCAAAGACAAGAGCAACAGGATCATGGGGGGGTGGCATATTAACATACTTTGTGTGCCATATTTAAAAGTATGGCTCATTCTGGAAAGAATGGCAAGTGACAGAAGGTGTTAAATTAGAAAGTGATAGAGACATATTTTTGCATTAATAATACCAGTTGTAAATCACAAGTTCCTGAAATATGGACAGTAACACACACAGAGACTGAGAAATAGGACTGGAAGCTTGAAAATATGTAAGGAAGGGGAAGGCATGAAAGAGAAAGAGTGAAATAAAGGATGAGTAACAGGTTTCTCACCTGGATGTCTAGAAGAATGGTGGTCCTCAAACTGAGATTAACTGGAACCAGTTCAGTAATGAGTTTATATTTGGACATACTGATTTTTTTCTTTAAACTTTTTATATTGAGATAATTGTAGATTTACATGTGTGTGAGAAGTAATACAGATAGATCCCGTGTACCTCTTACCCAGTTTACCATGTGTGAAAACTATAGCACGAAGCACCACCAGGACATCGACATTGATACAGTCAAGATCCAGAATACTTTCATCGATGAATTGGTTGTCATCAAAATTAAAATACTTTGCTCTGTGAAAGACTTTGTTAAGATGACAAAAAGACAAATTACAGACTGTGAGAAAATATTTTGCAAATCACATCCAAAAAAGGGCTTGTCTCTAGAATATAAAAAGAACTTTCAAAATTCTATATTTCAGAAAGGAACAATCTAATTAGAAAGATATGTAGACATTTCAGGAAAGAGGATAGACAGATGGTAAATAAGCATATGAATAACGTTCAACTTAATTAGAGAAATGCAAGTTAAAACCGCATGAGATGTCACTACACACATATTAAAATGACTGAAATAACAAGAGTGATAATATCAAATGCTGGTGAGAATGTGAAAAAACTGGATCATTCATCCATTGTTGGTGGGAATGTAAAATGATATAGCTACTCTGGAAATCATTTTGTAGTTCCTTTTTAAATGGATTTAACATACAACCCAGCAATTGCACTCTTGGACATTTATCCCAGAGAAATCAAACGTATTTTCATGCAGAAACATTGTGTACAAATGTTCACAGAAGCTTTATTCGTAATAGTCAAAACGCTAAAAACTACCCAATGTCTTTCAATGGGTGAATGGTTAAATAAACCGTGGTACATCCATACCATGGAATATTAGTCAGCAATAAAAAAGAATGAATTATTGGTACACACAACTTGGATGAACCTCAAGGAAATTATACGGAGTGGAAAAGCCAGTCTCAAAAGTGGGTACACATTGCATAATCCCATTGATGTAACACTCAAGAAATAACATAATGATAGAGATGGAAAACAGATTAGTGATTGCTAGGGGTTAGGGATGAGAGGAAGAGGGTGGCTGTGGCTAAAAGGGGTGCTACAGTTGAGTCTTTTGATAATGGTACAGTTAACTATCTTGAATGTGGTTGTAGTTACACAAAGGTACATAAGTGATAAAATTGCATAGAGCCCCACACACACAAATGTGTGTGTTTATAGCTGGTGAAATGTGAATATGCTCTATTCATTGTACCAATGCCAAGTCCCTGGTTTGGTGGTGTACTATAGTTACACAAGATGCTAACATTGGGGGAAGTTGAGTGAAGGGTGCAGGAGGAGCCCTGGCCCCAACCCCCATCCCATACATTTATCTGTAACTTGCTATGAATTAAATTATTTTAAAATAAAAAAGTTTATTTATAATGAGAATATTTAAGATTTACTGTGCTTCAAAATTAAGTCAGGCTCAGAACCAGCACGACCAGACATAGAAGTCATGCAACATTGTCTTGCCATATGGTTTGATATGTTTCTGACATTTTCACTGTTGCTGCTCCCTATAAATGAACGTGGAACATGAAAACATCAGGGAAGCCTTCTTTTCCAATCCCGCGTACTCACAGAGGAACTAATGGCATTTATTCTCTGTGTTGTCTGAACCTTAATTTCATTGTGTGCTTTTGTTTTCCATTTTGACAGAGCTGATCTTGTGGCTGGGTCATCTCACCCCACTTTTTTTTCCTCCCAGAATGGTGGTGATGGTGTATGTCTTAAAAAGCTCTCTCTCTCATTAAAACTTTTCATAGCCCTGAATAAAAATGCTTGTAGCCTCTTTCCTTCAGCCTGCCCCATTCCGTCTCCATTTTGGGATGAGACTTAAAGCCATTGGGTACCTTAAATGTAACTTACTCATTTCATGTTTCAAGCTTTATTGTAGCATCCCTAAGATTGAGCATTCAACCACTTAGGAGTGTCTTGAGATTTTAAGCAGCTAAGAAATCCTAGGGCCTTTTCTTGTGTCTGTTCCGTAGTGAGTGACCTTGTTTTCAGGGAGAGAAACAGAGGAACATCAATTATACAGAGCTATTCTTTGGAAAGCCTGAGTGTCCATTTATCCCTCTCCGGGGGAGGGGGTCAGAAACCAAACTTAGTCATTATTAATGATGTTCAATAATACAAAATACCAACACAACAGTACTTTTGAATAGTGACAGAGACCTGTAATGTAACTTTGGCACAACATTAAAGCCACGAGACCTCCTGTTTATATCTTCTTGGAACAAATCACTTCCCCTTAGACTCATGTTAAGCCTCAAAACTGATGACAAAAGACAGGCATTTCCTACTTAAACGGAGAGAAAACAAAGACAGAGCTCTAAGTTCCCTGGATGGGTGACCAATAGATACAGAAGAGCAAATTCACCTGTTAACTGGGCCCCTCACTCTCCATACAGTTCTCAGGGCTTTGGAATCAAGGGTGATCACCGTGTTCTATAGTAAGACATACCTATTCATCTCGGGAGAGAAGATACTTTGTTGTGTTTCTGATATAGCGTCTTGAATTCTTGAAGGGAAAAAAATCAGAAAGGTTTTTGTCAAAGCCAGGGTGCTGGTGCAAAAGCTGAAGTTTTAGATTCTAAGGATGGCTAGAAAAAGCTTACAGATCAAAGCCATGGAGTAGAGGTTTTAAAAATACTGCATATGGCTTTTTTTTTCTTTTTTTCCTTCTTGAAGGGCCATTCCTAAATAAAGCATGTTAACCACCGCCTGGATTGTGTACCCTTTATCTCCTTTGCTTGGACATTCAGCCTTTCTGAATGAAGTGCGGGATGAAGGAAGATGCTAGCAGGTATTTTCCTGAAACTGATGCATAATGGCTTTGCTACCAAGGAGATGTCCTTAGTTCCTGGGTGGTTTGCTTTGGGTGGTTTTTCTCTTACGGATCATTATTTATTATTGCATTTCTCATTCTCTCGCCCTCAGCTGCTTATGGGTCCCTTCTGAGATGGACTCTAATCCGAACACAAACCCTGTGCACGCACAGGAATAGCCCAGAGTTCCCACGTGCCTGCCAGTCTGTCTCAGACGACTTGCGGTCATAGTGGGGTTTGCGATCATCAAGCCTCTTCAGAATGCCCTGGTTTTCCACGGTGATTCTCAATAGGTCCCGGTTCCTCGTTTCCCTGTTTAAGCTGAAAAAACACAACCCCCTGAGATGGGTGAAAAAGAAAATTCTCCCCCTGGATGGGATGGGGGCAATGAGGCGATGATGTCATAAACGCAGGCTGCCTGGGCGCTGGGAGCAAGCTGGCCCTGCTGAGCCCCGCATGCTTCCTGACGGGACTGCACCTGGGCAATGGGCATAGCATCGGCAGGCTTGGACCAGTGGTTCTCAGCCCTGCTGGTCACTAGAAGATTCTAGCTGATTGGTCTGGGGTGTGGCTTGTAAAAAGTGGCATTTTGTAAAAGCCCTTTAGGAATTATGTGAAACTAGAATTGAGAATGTCTGATTTCTACGATGAGGTCTTGCCTATGGATAAATCTCAAATGGCTGGTGACAAGTTTCGTTTCACCTCACTTACCTCAGCTTTCAAGTCAACTTCAGATATACAAGGATATAGGAAAGGCCATCTTGACACTTCCTACACACACACGCACACACACAATTCTCTTGCATACGCTTCTGTGCATTATTATTTACATGAATGTCTCCCCTGTCAGACCCGAGTTCTTTGAGATTAGGAAATATGTATCTTATTTGATCTCTGTATCCCAGCGCTGAGCATGTAGCAGCTCAGGAAATATTTGTGGAACTGATTGTTAAAAATGCTGTGTCATAGCTCCAGCTATGGTCACCAATTTACAAAAGTATGTATTGCTTTCCTGTGACAAACTCTGAATGGGACTCTGCAATCAGTCTCGTAGATGATACAAAAGCTCTTTAATGCTGGGCACGTTCCCCATTTTTTGGTAGTTTTCATTCTCAACCTCACCTCTGGTTATTCCTCAAGATGACTTCCCTTCAGTACTCCTCCCGCTCAGGGGACCCTTGCACTACAACTGAACAAGGGGAGAGTCATTTTTGACTTTCCAAAAATGACGTGAAGAGAAAAAACACTACCTCTTGGAAAAGTATTCGTTCCAGCAATCCACCTTGGCTGGGCCACGATGGGCATTGGCGATTTTCTGGCACAGTTGCTTGTTTTCATACTCGATTTTGTTGATTTTCTTTTGCTCGCCCTGGTGAGAAAGCCCGCCCCTCCATGGTGACACCATCACCACTCTGTGCTCCAGCATTGCTCTCCTCTGGGGTTGTGGGAAAGGGCAAACTGAGGACCACAGCGGAGACTGGGAGCAGAGCTGAAGGAA